TAATGTAGTGTCTATATTTTTAATGATTGGATGGATGGAAATATGAACATCAGGGATTATTTTCACTTTCGGGCGGATCTCAGTCATCATCCCTGGCGCTCAATTGTCCCAGCTCTCATCTGAATTTCGCACCAATGTCTGATGGCCCTCATATTTGCCACACAAGACATATTTGATGCAGCTCAGTCAAACTCACCGCTGATCAATTGTCGTTGGCGAGTGATGATTTGGTCGCACAAATTCCGCTGCATTTCGTGTCTCACCAGCAACAAATCCCGTCTTCTCAGCTGATGTTCTCTCAATAAAGCGTCTCTCTGCAGCTCAGTTCTTTCGATTTCCAACTCATGAACCCTCAGCAACAACATGTACACTTCTCGTTGCTCCTGGGTGTTTATTTGCTGCGGTAATTCCTGGAAAGAAAACAAGCAAGATGCCCCATACGTTAATTGTACAACTGAAAAATCTTTCATCATTAAATTGACGTCTGACTGACGAAGATAGTTGACAAAAAAATATCCGCATGGAAATCCCAAAATGTTCATTCATTTTCTCCAAAAAAGATGATGATGCAAAGCAAACGAATCTAGAGGCAAAATTGGGCCAGATGAGAAGATAAATTTTTTTTAATCTGAAAAATAATCGAGCTAAAGTAGCGTGATATGATTCAGAAATTTCCTTCGAATGCCAGAGAAAACGGCGGAATTCCCCGGATATTATGAAAATTTTAACTTTGCTCATTTTTGTACCTCTTCTAAAACTTTGGCCTTGTGCCGACATTCGTCCAGCTGTTTCTCAATGTCGGCTTTCATGTCGTCATAACGGGTTTGTTCCCGAATGATAAAAGTGAGCTCATCCATGGCTTGAGCCACGTCCTCAGGATCATCATCTTCGTCCGTGTCTGGTTCTAAAATCCAAAATAAATGGAATAAAAGTCCGTCAATTACAAAAATTACCCTTGCAACGTAATCTAGGTACAATAAAAATACCCGAAGTCTCAAAAAGGATAACGTAGAAAAAATATCGCTACATATAGCAGTGCAAATGTAATGAATTCATATATCGACACAAAAACTTGATGGAAAATCTGCAATGTTTACAATAACAAAATTGTTGGTCAACAAAGCTTCTGTATTCAACTGTCAAAATGTCTTTGATAGTTCAAAGAATGGAATTCACCATTTACATACCTGAGCTAAAGCAGGTGGCAAATCTCACATTTTTCAAAAATTTAAATTAAACTACTGCCAACAATTTGAAGCATTTGTGATGGCAGTGATAAGAAATTTATTTTTTGCAGAATGTTTCAGCAAAACTTTGTTACTGCCCTTTATTCATGCAAATTTTCTTATGATTATTTTTATTTGACCAGATTTCTCTTTTTCCTATACAAGCTAGGGGTGCCCAGCCAGACCCAGGCATTGGACAAATTTTAGTTTGGAAAACTTCATTGATGCATTACAGAAATTAATGCGTGGAAGAGGGGGTGCCAAGGTGCAACTTTTCATCAAGATACAAATTATGTGGAGAACTTTGAACAAATTGTATGATTAAAGTTATTTAAATGGTGAAGGACCACAGGTAATCTTGTACTTGTGGGCAATGTGCCAGTTGTTGCAGAATCACATGAGATGGTCATCCATAATTCTGAAATGTCCTATCACATGTTTAGAATATTCTAAAAAAGGTTGTGCATTACTTCAACATACTTTCACATGGATAGCAACCAAGTTGCTCAACAATATCTGGTCACCAGTTGTTGACCTTTTGACTGGCCTGGTTCCATTTATGTTATGCATGGTCATGTACCTTTTACTTTTGGGTACTGAATTTGGAATCTATCAAGGAGTATCTGAACACATCTTCCTCATTTATTGCAGGTCTGCTTGTCTTTGATTCAGATAGTTGAACACAAAATATATAACCCATTCTTATATGAAAAGATAAGTGTCTTATTTATCATCACCCCAGCCAAAAGAAAGAATCAATTCTCAATTTTTGTTGTCCTGACAGAATT